ATCATGCATGTAAGTGCTCAATAAACATTATGGATTAATACTTTGTTGTTGTTATTATCTTCTCTGTCCTTGGGTGCCTTTGCTCTCTCCATTGACTTTTGTAGCTATCATTATGAGGGTGAAATTGAAAATATTTAATAACCTGTATAGCATTAGACCAATTAGAAAGACACCTGCCCCCAACCAATCAGAACTGACATAGGTCTGAACCAGTCAAAACAAACATAAGTCTCTGATCAGAAGAGAGATGGGCCTCTGACCAATCAAAATACAAATGGGTCTCTGACTAATCAAAATGGATGTGGGAGAGCAGGGTCTCAAAGGCCCCTTGCTGGGCCAGATGTAGCTACCACGTTTTTATTATTATTATTATTAATTAATTAATTTTTCCAAATACATTTGTCTCTGCCTTCCCCCCCACCACTTTCCCCTTCCCCCCTCTCCCTCTCCCTCCCTCAATACTTCCCCACTTTGATTTTGTCTATGAGTCCTTGCTATATGTTCCTTGACTTTCTCTTTCCCTTCCTTTTCCCCCACCCATCCCTCCCTCCTTCCCTCTTGTCTCTGTTGGTTTCTTTTTCTTTCAGTGTTGCTGTCTTATTTTCCTTGCATCTTTGTTTTGTTGGTTAGGTTCTGCTTATAGGTGAGATCATATAGTATTTGCCCTTCTCCCCCTGGCTTATTTCACTTAGCATAATGCTCTCTAGTTCCATCCATGGTGTCGCAAAGTATAGTAGTTCTTTTTTCTTTATGCTGCATAGTATTCCATTGTGTAAATGTACCATAATTTTTTGATCCAATCATCTACTGATGGACACTTAGGTTGCTTCCAACACTTGGCTATTGTAAATTGTTCTGCTATGAACATTGGGGTGCATAGGTTCTTTTGAATTGATGGGGTTTTTTTAGACTTTATTATTTCTTTTTAAGAGAGAGGAAGCAGGGAGAAAGAGAAAGAAACATTGATGTGTGAGAGAAACATCAATGGGTTGCCTCTTGCATGCTCCCAACTGGGGACTTGACCCCTAAACGAGGTATGTGCTTTGGCTGAGAATTTAACTGATAACCCTTCAGTTTGTGGGATGACACTCAACCCACTGGTCAGATACAGATGTAGCTACCTCTTAACAAGAATTCATGAAGAAGGATCTAGGGAGACTAAAGAAAAAATAGGGGGGAGGGAGCATGAGGATTGGTCCAGTAGCTTTCTTACAAATATTAAAGAGTATTTCAATCTTAAAATACATCAAGATTGTACTCTAACACACAAGCTTGTTGTCAATAGTGTGTCCATCATTCTCCAATCTAGCAGAGTCCTTGCTTTGTCAATGTGGGGCAGGAAGAAATCAATGAAGTCCTTTAGGGCACTGGAGTCCAACAGTTTCTAGTGCATCTCAATGGTCTTAGTCACAAAATCTTCCAATTCTTGCATGAGGCTGAACAAGCAAGTGTGGGTGCCAGGGAAGTCTTTTAGGATGCAGGAGAGGAGGTCAAACATCTATAGGAAAGCCAAAAAAGCCCTAGAACCTTTTCTAATCTCTGGGTTGGTGCTGTGGGTGTTGATTGTGCACTGCACATACAGCAGCATTTGAAGGGTAATCTTCACCCCCTGGACTTGAGAATGTGCCACCTACCAGCTGAGCAAGACCAAGCACACACATCCACACCCTCTCTGGTACATGAACAGCTGCCGCACGCTCCAATCACTCTTACATCTTCCAAGATTTCTTCTCTCACAATCCACCCTTGTAGAAGGCCTGATTGCTACCCACAATCTGACTCATTGCCTCATTTGGCAGAGTGCAGGGAGTAAAGTGTGTGCACAGAAAGTATACCTCTGGCCCTGCTTGGATAGTTCTGTTGGTTAGAGCATTGTCCAGATAGGCCAAGGTTGTGGATTTGATCCCTGGTCAGGACACGTACAAGAATTAACCAATGAATGCATAAATAAGAGGAAAAACAGTGTTTCTCTTTCACCCCCTCTTCCTAAAATCAATGTTAAACAAATATTTAAATTAAACTGACCTTCTTGTTTTTCTGCTCAGGACAGAAGGCATCTGATCCCTTGGCAAGGTCAACCCGCCTCAATACTTGATTCCTGGCCACCATGAAATCTTTGGCATTGCCTGGCTTTAAAAAGACCTTATGATGGTGAAGACTTGTTCAGTATATTTAGCAGCTGTAAGAATCTAAGGTTCTGGTAATTAAAGTGCTCTCCATAATTGATGAAGCTCCTGGGGTTTCTTATTCCACACTTTGATTTGATGATAAACACTCATACATGCATCAGTATAAACAGTACAGAGGTACATATAAAAGCAAACATATAAACGAAGATGATGGGGCAGATGATATTGGCTATGATTGCATTAAAGAGGAAGATGGGGTCCAGATGTGCCTGGGGATGAGAGGTCTACCATGAGAGGTCCTCTGCATTGTCCTTCTGGGTGCCTCTGGCCTGGCTGGTGCTCTCTTAGCTTGTTTCATTGGTTATTTTCTATTTCTCTTGGACATCCTGTTTTTCACTAACCTCTATAACTCAACTTTTTTCTGGGAGTCTTCCTTTCTGTGAGTTTTATTTCTCTTGTTCTCGTTCTCTGACTTTCTTGATGCACCTGGGTCTGTCTCTGGTCTTGTCTCTCACTCCTTCTTTGGGATTCATATCCTTTTCTTCATACTCTCTTTTTAGTGCTCCCAATGTTCTTTGTCCTCAACTTCACTAGCACTCTGTCCCTCACCTGACTCCATTTCTATCTTTACCTTTTTCTTAGGATTTTTCCTTACAGTCTCTAATTATGGATCAATTTTTTAAGCACACTCAATTTTCTCTGTCTTGCTTTCTTTCTGTCTCTCCTCTGCTTTCTCTGACTCTTCTCTACTCCCCGGTTTCTGTCTCTGTCTTCCTCATTCTCTTTCTCTTTTCCTTGTGTGTAAACCTGTCCCTGCACCTCCCTGTTTCTGTATCTCCATCAGTAATGTTTTCTCCTCCTTCTATGTCCCCATCTCACCCATCTCTGTCTGTCCCTTCACCCCCTGCCATGGGGCAGGGCTCACCCAGAGATCTCTGAAGCTCCTCCACCAGACCCTGAGCCTCATCCTCAATTTGCTTCTCAATGCTCTACTTCACCATCCCAAAGTCTCTCATGGGGATCAAAAAAAAAATGGCCTAAGGGTCTTCCAAAATTTTCCACTGGTGAAAATCACACCTGATTTGTGGGTGATGGAGGAAACATTGGAGGAAGTGTGGGGTCTTCCTTTGTCATCTGCCCCATCCCCATCACATCTCTCACTCGCCGGTTTCCCTGGAAGATGGAATCAACAATAACAATGTGTCCTCAGCCAAAGATAGCCTCAGACTGATGTTCAGGGCTTCCCTCAGTGCCGCATGCGCACACAGGATGGTGACAGGTTGGGCTTAGGTAGACTGTGAAGACATCCCCATGTTTCTCCCCCAGCTGTGGGGGCAGGGTCAACACCTCACTCCCCGACCCAAGTGAAAGGTCTCCAGGCTCACACCTGCATCACACTTCCAGTGGAGCCTGCACCTCACTGGCTGAGGCTCCATTGGGGAGAAGGCACACTTGCATTCCATGGCCCCAACACTTCCTGCAGCCCTCACTGCAAATGTCCTCCTCTCTAGGCTTTTCCAAGAACCTCCCCCGTCTTCTACTTTAAGAACTGCAGAAACTCCCCACATCTGAGCTCTAGTCCATCCCCAACCAGAAAGACCACAGCTCAAAGTCTCTAGTCTGTCAGGACTTCTCTCTCCAGTCTCCATTTCCTATATTCCTACTCATTGGAATTCCAGCAGCTTTTCTAGTGGGTGTATTGTCCAGACTGTGACTGAAAAAAGACAACCCACAGCTGGTCAATGAAGTTCCACCCTAAAATGACCCCCAGCTGCCTTGCTGCCTGTGAACTTTTCCTGTCCAACCACCTCCTGCTTCCCACCCCCTTTCCCCTCTGTGTCTCATGGCCTGGAATGACTTGAAAAGGCCCTTGTGGTTTATTTGCAAAATTTTCCCCAGGAAGGGCAAAGGCCAGGGTACAGGAGGGAGGTGGCCCCTGATTAACAAGAGGCCTGTAGGATGATGAAGAGCAGGCTGGCCCAGAACACTACAGTCCTTGTGCCTACTGTTTCTCATAAAATGTAGGTTGCCCTGTTGTTTGATGGGTTTTCTGTAGTTGTTTGGGGAGAGTATTGAGCAAATTCACCTTAGCAGAACTCCTTGTAACTCACAAGAGGCAACAAAAGGCCAAAAGGTGGCAGGTGCTGCAAAGGCCAGGAAGTCTAGCATCTTATTTGGTTCCCAAAGCAACCTTCCTATGGCCTCTGGCAGTCCTGTGGTATCTCATGGGCAATGCCATTGAATGAAAAGCACCACCCTCAAGAAAGGGTTATGTGCCAGCTGGTGGGACAGGTGAAGGCAGTTTCATGGTTTTTGCACTGCAAGTGTGGTTCTCAGCCTGTTTTGTCAGAGGCACTGCACATGAAGGATTGATAATCACTGGCAGGCAGAATTGGGACATCTTGTGCCAAATAGGGACAGGTATTTGTTTATTGAAGGCATCAGAACAAAGTGATACTGGAGGATGTCTGAACTGATGGGGGAAACCTAGCTCCATATTGGTAATTTGGAGGATTGCCTGATTAGCCATTCATTCATTCATTCCTTCATTCATTTCTCAGAAAATATTTTGAACACCTGTTGTATGCTGCACAGTGCTCTATGTGCTGAGAGAACGGTGATGAACAAGACAACGCTGGCACTGGAGCTGGCATTGGCGTGAAGTAGAATACTCACTTTCTGGGAGGATTCCTAATGACTTGACAATAAACAGATCACATGTGAAGTGACATTGATCACCATCACCTAACCCAGAGGTGTCAGATTTTGGATGTCTCCTTGAGTCTCAGTGGCCTTGAATGGGAATATCAGGAAATCCAAGGCACCAGTTTATAATCACACAGACCAGATGGCTGTGGGCAGAGGAGGCCCTTTCAAATTGAAAAGAAAAGATGAGCCTTGGTTGGAGCCATCAGTGGATTGAGTGCCAGCCTGAGAACTGAACGGTCACCAGTTCGATTCCCAGTCAGGGCACATGCCTGGGTTGTGAGCCAGGTCCCCAGTGGGGAGCACATGAAAGGCAACCAAACAATGATGTTTCTCTCCCTCTCTTTCTCCTTCCCTTCCCCTCTCTCTAAAAATAAATAAATAAAGCCTTTAAAAAAAAGAAAAGATGAGGAAGCAGGAGGACAATGAATGGGCACAACTATGGTCTACAAGGCGGACCTCAAAAATATGCTGAGTGAAAGAAGCCAGTCACAAATGGCCACATATTGTGTGATTCCATTATATAAAATATGCAAAAAAGGCAAATCCAGAGATACAGAAAGCACTAAATTACATCACTTGTGAAAATGGTTGACTTTTTTTCCCTCTGAGTCACTTTAATTCAAAAATATATGGGTGGGAGGAACTTTGTTAAAGAGTTTGAGTCCTAGAGCCATGGATACTGAGTGTGACACTTACTCCTCTATTCACTATCCATGTGAACTTGGATTACTTGTATGTACAATAGACATGATTATTGTGCCCACCATGTGGGGCTATTGGGAGTAGGATTAAGCAAGATCATGTATGTACAGATCATGGAGCATATGGAGTTGCTAAATGGACACTGTGGCTGCTCTAAGGAAGGTAGACATCAGTCAGGGTGAGCAGTGGTCTGGGAGGCAGAACTGCAGAGAGATCCTGAGCTGAGTTTCCCCTTTCAGCTTCCAGTTTCTATGTATAGACCACTTCTGGAATTCCATTAACAGAGGAAATGAAAACACCTCCTTGAGTCTTTAGAAGAGCTGCAGCATGCTGAGCAGAGACGAGACACAGAAAGGACCTTCTCATGGAGGTGGAAAACAAGGGTGGGGAGGGATACAGGCTTGCAGCAGATCTCTCAGATGCAGAACATGAACAGAGGCAGGAGATATTCCCTGCAGGGGCAGGAATACTTTATCACCATGGAATCCTTTGAGCTGCTTCCTTCAACTCAGCGGGAGAGGAAGCGGATCTGGTATGTAGGGGGCACTTTGCCCACTCCACACTCCTGGGGTGTGAGATCAATGTCTTCAGGGGCCATGGAACTGGCCACAGAGAAATTCTGGAGGATGGTGGTGAGGAAGAGGAATAATTCTGCACGGGCGAGGCCTTCACCAAGACAAATGCGCTTCCCTGTGGGTACAGAGGATCAACAATGTGGACCCAGAGTGGATGCACATTCTTTGCCCAAAGCCCAGACACCTGTGTCCATTGCCACTGGTTTGTATGGGACTAGCCCTTCACCTGCAATTCATTTTGGACTTTTAGGGGTTTTCCAAACCTCTGAAATCAGGTGCAAAACTCTGATGGATATTTTTCCAGGAGCGAGTTTATAGCTTCCAAACGTTCATTTGGACTCACAGGGTCTAAGGACTATCATTCGGTTGGATGTGTGTGTGTGCACATCTCCATATGTGTAGATGTGTGCAACTTCTGACAACCATTAGAGAATTGTGAGTTTAAAAAAGCTAATATTTGTAAAAAAAAAATTCTTAGAAGAGCACCTGGTCCATACTAAGGATCCTATAGGTGTAGTTGGTACTTCTTGTTCTTTTTCTGGGTGTGCGCAGTGGGGAGTATGGGGTCTGACACTGCATGTGATTGTCTATGTCTGGGTTGTCTTCATTTATGTATTTATATATTTTCTACTACAGTTGCCATTCAACATTATTTTATATTAGTTTAACCACAACATAGTGGTTAGTCACATATATAATTTACAAAATGATCCTGCATAAGTCTACTACCCATCTGACACCATACATAGTTATGACCTCATTCCTTATGCTGTACTTTATATCTCAATGACTATTTTGCAATCACCACTTTGTACTTCTTCCTCACTTCACCTTTTTCACCCAGTCCCCCAAGCCTCCTCCCCTCTATCAATCATCAGTTCTCTGTATCTATGAGTCTGTGTCTGCTTTGTTTCTTATATCAGCTTTAAGAAAAATCCCACATTTTACATAAATTTGTGAATGGGACTTATGCATGTGAGATGGGTCTATGGCATCCATCAGATTCTCAGAGGTGTAATCCCCTCCTCCCCACTGCTTTGGAGAGAAATGAAGGCAAAGGGAGCCAAAAAGCACAGGTAGAGACACCAAGAGTCTCCTCCATTGTTTCATTTATTCTTAATCTGCAAGCTGAGCACCCTGGAAAGGCCTTTTCAAGGATGGGTTTCCAGGCCTTTCTTAAACCTTTCAAGTTCTTAGCCATTGTTCCTGTGTAGAGGTATCTAGGAAAGGGTTCACATTATTGGCACACCCAGAAGTTAGAAGACATGAGCTAGAAATCCTCAGGGCAGGGCTCTGGCGTGGTTCTTTTCCTGTAACTGGCTCGATGAACCACCTCTTTCTTGAAGAGCTTGTTATATCCCTTCCACTCTGTCCTCCCTATACCTTCTGTAGATCTTTGGCTCTAACACCTTTTTGGCTAGGTTTGTCTTTCTTTCTGCCCATGGCAGGTGGCCTCAGTCTTTTTTTTTTTTTTTTTTTGTCTTCACTTCCTGACAGGCACTGTCTTCTAAAATTTCCCTCCTTTTTTAAATCTTGTTTGACTCCTTGCCTCGTTTTGGGTCTGATTGTGTCTGCAACTCACTCACTCCCATTTTTCATCTCCATCTATGATCCCTTTTCTCTTTTCCATTGTTTCTTCCTCTCTACTCATGTTTCTACTTTCTACTCTTTTCCCCCCTCTATATCCTATTCTGCTATTCTCTTTCTTCATCCTCTTTTTTTTCCTCTTCTCATCCTCCTTCTATTGTCTCACATTCACTCTCTATTTCTGCCATATCTCCCCTGTATCTTCCTCTTCTTTTTTAAATGTCTCTTTGGCCCTCTGTGTTTCTCATACACTCTATCCTGATATGTCTGTCTCTGTCATTATCCCTCTCCGTCTTGGCATCTCTCTAAACTCAGGACAATTATTGAATGGAAGAACTGACCCTCTGCCCACCACCCATGTGTCCCCCAACTCTCACTTCAGATGAAACGAGGAAAGAGGCCATGGCACTGGGCAGAGCCAGGGACCCTGGGTCACTAAAGTTGCTAACAAAACATGAGACTGTTTTCAGCCTTCATCCAAAGGAAACTTCATTCTGGGGTTTTCCTTTATCCCCAAAAATGAGGACACTGGGCTTGGGTTTTCTCTGGATGGAGCCAAAGGGTGCAGAATGAAGACAGAGACAAGTCAGGCATGTCAAAGCCCTCCTCAGCTTCTCAGTGCCAACAAGATAAATCCAAACTCTGCCAAGTTATTGAAGTGCTCCAGCTGAGCATTTCACCGGTATCCCCTTGTGTAATCCACAGCCCAGGCCCCTGGGGTCCCTCTAGCTTCTCACATGTGCATGCTGTGTCCTCCTCCTGGCATTGCCCTTCCTGTTTCCTCTGCCTGGAACACTCCAGTGGCTGGTGGATATTTGCCCATGAGGTCTTAGCATAGAACCCAGTGTTTCAGGTAAGCTGTTCCTCACTGAGACAATTTTGTGATCTCAAAGCCCCCTTCAGAGCACTTTTAACAGTTCAGATTAATTATAACAATAATAATTGCCCCCAAAAGCACTTACTGTGTGCCATGAAGTTCTAAGCACATTACAGGCATTAATTCCTGTGATTGCTTATTATAATGTAGCCATATGATGAATGTCCATCTTCTGTGCTGCAATGTTAATTTTTTTCCTGGGGCACGATCTGTGTCTCTCTGTGACTTTCTGAGGCATTATCTTCAGGCCCCGGTAATCATGGGACTCAGAGTATGGTGCCCAATGGGTATCTTATACTGAGGTATACAGAGGTTAACATACTTTCCCAAAGTCCAGCATACCAAGGTATGAAATTGGCTTGTGACCTCACTTCTTAAGCCCCTTTTAAGGTCATAATGAATATGGGATAAGACAATGAAAGTAAAGCAACTGGCAGGTACTAACTGCTCAATAAACAAAAACCTCTCCTCAAGGAGGGGAAAACACCTATACTCTGGTGCCTAGGGCAGCAGGTGTAGATCCAGCTTACCTATGGAGAAGGGCATAAAAGCTCGATTATTCTTCAGTGCCCCAGTGGCATCCAGAAAGCGGTCAGGGTTGAAGGTGTCTGGTGTGTCAAAGTAACGCGGGTCAAAGAGAGCGGTGCTCAGGAGGGGATATATATCGGTGCCCTGAGGGATGATCACAAGATAAAAAATATTGCCATTCCCTTCTCTACCCCACCCTGGAAACATAGCATGAAACAAGAGGCCCTAGTGATAAAACAAAATGTCAGGTTTGGAGATTTAAAAAACCCAGGATCCCACACAGGAGAGATGTATTTGCCTGGTAGGTCTCACCTTTGGGATGATGTAACCTCTGAATTGAGTGTCTTTCATGACCATGTGGGGTACGCCAATGGGGAGGATATCTCCGCATCTCTGAATCTCATTAATGACTGCTTCAGTGTATGGCATTTTGGCTCGGTCATCAAGGGCTGGAGGGCAGTGGGAGCCAATCACCTGATCAATCTCATTGTGGACTTTCCCTGCACAGAAGAGTGGAACAATGAACCTCATTTAAAGGACAATTCAGCATAGATACTGCTTTCTATATGCCAATGAACCAGGAAAAAATATAGCAAAGTGTTAGATCATTGATACTTCTCAGAATGAGAGCAGAGGGTGGGCAGAGCAGAAGGGAAGCAACAAGAATTCTCACTTTTTGACTTCTGGTCAAGATGGTGGCATAGGTAAACATGACTCACATGTCTCCAGCATGCCCACCTGTGATGTGTGGGTATTTGAGAAAGAACAGGAATCCGTAGTAGAGAGTGGTGCTTGTGGTCTCCATGCCCCCGAATAATAGAGCGAGCACAGTGTTGATGAGGTTCTGGTGGTTGAACACGCTCACTGGGTTGGACTTCTCCTGGGTCCAGAAGTGCAGAGTTTGCATCAGGAGAGGCTGGAACCTTGCTGCATGCATGTCTTGGGGTCCCCCCACAAGTAATTTTTGGGTCTCTCATACCATCTGGCCCATTTTACTTTTTTTCTGTCCTTTGTGTGTCCACCCACATATCTCTATCTCTCTTCATTCTGGCTGTTTCAATACATCATTTCATCTCTCTGGTGTATTTGTCTCACTTGCTCTCCCAGTCTCTTTCTTACTCTGTGGATCTCTTCCCCTGTTGCCACATTTTTGTTCCTTGTCCTGTATTATTCTTCCTCTTCCTCCTCCTCCTTCTTCTCCTTCTCCCTCTTCCTCTCCCTTTCTCTCTCCCCTCCCTCCCTCCCTCCTCCCTAGTTTCTCCTTCTTTTATTTCCCCTATATTCCTTCTACTTCTCCCCTCCCGTTTCCTAATCTCCCCTCAGAATCCTCTGTTCTTCCACCCCCCCTTCCCCCCTCTTTTTTTCTCATCTTTTTCTTCCTCCCCTCCCCTCCCATTCCCTCTCCAAACCCTACTTTGTCCATGCGGAGCAGGTAGTTATCAATGAAGTCCCGGGGGGAGCTGGGGTCCAGGGTCTGTCTGTGCTCCTCCACACTGCGGCCAATGAAGTCTTTGACTTCCCGCATGTTTCTGTTGATTTGCCTGTGTGTGCCAGGAAAGTACTTCAAGATATCAGAGAAGAGCTCAAACATCTGTGGGAGACAAGAGGCTGTGAGGTCCTCCTGTGGCTGAGCTATTGGGTCACAGGAAGGGACATCCCTCCTGGGCTCTAATATCTCTGCTAGAGGGAAATCTCTGTCTCCCTGTTACTTTCTCTTTGTCTCTGTCTCTCTGTCTCTCTCCCTCCCTCTCTTTCTGACACACTCATTCTTTTCAACTCTGTCTCTCATGATCTCTTTATATGTGCCCCTTTTGTCTTATTTTCTTTCTTCTCTCTTTTCCTCCTCTCTCTCACTCTCTCTCTCTAATTCTCCATTTCTTCCTCCTCTATCACTCCCCTTTCTTTCTCTTAGTCCTTAGCCCCTATCTCCCCATCTCTCTTTCCCTCCAGACGTCTGTACCTCTCTCTCCCCCAGTTGTCCCTGCCCCTCTTCCAACCCTAATTTGCATTTTTTGGGCCCCAAATCAGATTACTTCTTTCCCCTTCCCTGGATGACCATCTCCTCTGCACCCTCCCCCACATTCTCCCTGACCTGGCCAGAGAAAGAGCTGATAAGTGTGAAGGTCTGGTGGAACATGTCAAGAAGCCTCTGAAACTCAGGGTCTCTGTAATCAAAGCGTTTTCCAAAGAGAGTGAAGCAGATGATGTTGGCAGAGATGGCTTGGAATATGGTGGCGGGGTCCTGGAGAGCTCCTAGGTGGAGGAGGTAGCAGGTCAGGGGACACAGACTGAAATACCCTATCTCTGTATGACAGTCCTCCATCGCTCAGGAGCGATAAAGAAAACAGGAATAATAACAGTTACCACTCACTAGCCAAGATCATGGGCCAGGCCCTAGTCTAAGCACTTTCTATATTATTTTATTTATTCTCACCTCAACTCTGTGAGGAAGGTGCATTATCCCCATTTCATAGGTGGACAAACAGAGAGGTTAAATAGCTTGACCAAGGTTACCCAGTCACTTGTCACTAGGCTCAAGATACAGAGCCAGGCAGTTCAGCTATGGAGGCAGGTGGCTAGTCCCCTTTAAGGCCCCAGCTCTGATGGGTAGAGCAGGTACAGTTAAGTCCCAGGGGCAGGAGGAGTGCAATGCAGGTGTTTAATCAATTGCATGTACAAATTTAAAAGCTCTGCTCTCCCTGCCCCTTCCTGTCTGTCCCCTCATTTCTTTTGTTCACCTCTAGGGATCTATGGTCATCAGGACAATGTCCTGCACTTGTTAACTGATCTCTGTGTATACCAGGCTGGCTCAGCTGGAGGGAGAGTGGGCTGTGGGCCCAGGAGCATCAGGGCGCCAGGTGGGTGCCATCTCTCTGGGAGTCTCACCCATCCATCTTCTCTTGTTCCTCTGCAGACTCTCTCCTGAGTCTGCCTGTCTGTCACTGTTTCTCTGCCTTTGTTTCTTTCTGCCTCACTCAGTCTCTTCCATTTCCTGTCTCTTTGTGCCTGTCTCTTTGCCTCAGTCCCTCCATCTCTGACACCTTCCCCTTATCTGTCTCTGTCTGCGTCAGTCTGTTTCCTCTTGTTTTCCTCTAGTCCCTCTGTCTTCTTTCCTCCTTGTGTCTCTGCTTCTGCCTCTCCCTCCCAATCTCTACATTTATATCTTGTAATCTCTTGAGACAGGACCCTGCTACCTGTATGTCTAATACACAGCAGTTTTAGGGAGGATCTAAAAACAACCAGAAGTGCTTCTCTGACAGCCCATCCAGCCCAAGAGCTGAAACCCCAGTGCACTCACTGCCAGATTATCAGCAGTTCACCCAAGCAAAGGAAGACACAGTTCACTGTTTTCCAGATGTCTAGTTTTTCCTTTTCTTTCTTTGTTTTCCTGTGTATATAAGCCCTATTTTTGCCTTTGATAGATACAATTAATCCATGAATTGGTTTCCTCAAACATAAGTAAATAGCATGCTAACATCTGAGTTTATGTCTTTAGTGGTTCTCGACACTACGCCCCCCTCATCTCTTCTGGTCCCTGTGTCCCTCTCCTACCCATCGTTATCCATCTCTGTGTCCCTGCCTGTGTCCCTGTCTGTCTCTCTGGTGGTCTCTCTGGCTCTGTCTTTATCTCTACCTCTCTCTCTCTGCCCACATATACCCCTGTCTTTCTATTGCTATGAACCCTGCTCCTCTCTGTTTCACTGTCTCTCTTTCCCCCCATCCCTGAGGCTCACCCTGGGATTTCCGGAGCTCCTCCACCAGACACTGGGCCTCCTCCTGAATGCGAGCCTCCATACTCTGCTTCCTCATTCCAAAGTCCTTCATGGCTGCCAGAGTGAATTTCCGAAGGGCCTTCCAACATTCCCCATTGACAAAAGACACACCTTGGGTGTAGGCAGGAATGGGTTTCAGAGGAAGTTAGAAGGAGGCTCTGGGTCCCTCTCCTCTCCTTATTCTCCCTTCCCAGGCTCACCTTCCCCAATCCCCATCCTCCATCTCCCATTCCCTCCTGCTACCTTTCAGGCCCTTACCATATCCTTTAAAGACTTGATCCAAAATGGCCATTTTTCCCCGGCCAGAAAACACCTCAGCTTGGTCCACCAGGGCCTCTCGAATGGCCTCTGACCCACATAGCATGACCACAGGCCTTGACCCCAGGTATACCGTGAAGACATCTCCGTATTTGTCTCGGAGCTGTAAAGCATAATACCCACATTATAGTTGCTATTACTCAGTAAGCATCTGTGTCCATTCCAATTGTTAAACCATTAAAATACATATAGGTTGGTAATTAGCTGCCATCCCAAACCCCTCCATTCGAGTCTGTCTTTTCCCTTCCCAGGACCCAGCAACTAAAGGATCAACCCATGACCTAGCCAGGATCTGCATGATTGATTGGTGCCTCAAGCAGTACACAGGGTTAAATATCTCTAATATCACCTCTGACCATATCCTTCCAGTCTGGCCAGATCTCCCTGGTATCAGAACTAAAGAATCATCCTTTTGCGACCCAATTTCAACCTGTTGTCAGTCTCCTGACAATTCCCCCAGAGAACTACCGTGAACAATAGACATGAACAAGAGTGAGGGCCCTCTGTGGGCGATCATGAGATCTGAAAAATTTATAACATCAGTACAGCCACATTGCAAACTGCTCAGTATTATTTACTGAAGCTGACAGTTCACATGTATACTCAGTGACTCATCAGTTTCACTTCCAGATACATGTACAAAAATATGTGTACAGCCTTGGCTGGTGTGGCTCAGTGGATTGAGTGCTGCCCTGTGAATCAAAGGTTTGACCAGTTCAATTCCCAGTCAGGGCACATGCTTGGGTTGCAGGTCAGTTCCCCAGTAGGGGGCACATGAGAAGCAACCACACATTGATGTTTCCCTCCCGCTCTTTCTCTCTTCCTTCCCCTCTGTCTAAGAATAAACAAATAAAATCCTTTTTTAAAATGTGTACTTGTGTTCACCAAAATAGAGGACAAGGATGTTCCCTGAAATCCTATAGAATATATAGTGATGTGTCCATACTGTGGAATACTACACAGCAATAAAAAAGGACAAACCAGTTGTATATGCAACAACATGTGTGAAACTGACAGGTGTAATGCTGAGTGAAAGGAGACACAAAAGAGTCCAACATGGTAATTCCTTTTTTATGAAATTGAAGGACAGAGAGCATGGAGCCATGGTGCCATGACAGCGGGAGGGTAATGACTGGAGGGGATGTGAATGGGGTACCTGGAAATGGGCACTGTTGTTACTTATCTGTATGTCAATTGTGTGAGTTTGAGAAAATTCACTAAGCTGAGCACTTACGATTTGTGCACTTCTTAGGATGATGTTAAACTTCAATAAGAAGTTGAGTTATAATAATAAAAAATTAACTTTTTATGATTTTTATAAAAAATTTCCACACTGATTTCTGCAAAGCCTCCTCACTGGTCTCTCTATCCCTATTCCTGTTCTCTCTACAAACATTCCACCACCACCAGACTATGAAGCCAGAGGAATCCTATTAACAGTAAATTAATATCATCAACATGCTCCAAACCCTCTGGTGCTCCCACCTCATTGAGAGTAGAACTGAAGTCTCCACCATGGTCCACACAACCGTGCATGATGTGGCCTCTTCACCCCTCTGCTTCTCCTCCCATTGGCCCCTTGGCTCACTCAGAACCTGCCTCCACATTGTCCCCCAAGCATGCTGAACCTGCCCCTGCTTCAGGGTGCTTGCACCACCACCTGCCTCTCTGATATCTTCCTCCTGCATCTTTCAGGGTCTCTGCCCAGAAACAAAGCAGGATTGAGCTTGTCCCTCACTAGTCAATCTAAAGTAGTTCCCACCACTTTCTAAAACAGCACTCTGCTTTATTTTAATCAACTCTTGTCTACCTAATATTCCTTATTTGTTTATTTGTTTATTTCTTATGTCCTGTCCTATGCCACACCCAGATATTCCCCAGCACTCAGAAGATGCCCTGTAACTTGCTATTCAATGGCTGCATAAATTAATGAGTGGATCAATGTAGCTGTCATTTAATGAGTATTTGCTATACACCAGGCTCTATTCAATACCTCGTCTCATCCGCACAACAGTTTTATGAGGGACACATTCTTATTGTCACCATCTCATTTTATGGAAGAGGAAACAGAGACTCAATGAACAGCACTAGAGTCTGGAACATGAGTCCACACCAGACTCCAGAAAGATTTGGGTGCATATAAGGGAATGGTGGAGGAACAGTGTCTCCTTCCCCAAACCGTCCCATCATGACACCTACTAGCTCATGCCCTCTCCTCTCTCTCTCTCTCTCTCTCTTCACAGATGCAATGATGATGGAGGATCATGGACACCTAAAGATCCTTGGAAGGTCCATGTAAAAGTTTTAGGGGTCTGAAACTCTCAAAATTTATGCAAAAAATTGTATGAATATTGGGAGGGAGCCTAAAGCTTTAATCAGATTCTCAAAAAAATTTAGTTACCCCTAAACTATTAAGCAGCTTCAGTCTATGAAGACCCTGGAGATAGAGAGAACTCCATGTGGACCCCAGCTTCCCCTCTGTGAAGTCCCAGCTGTGTGGCTATGGACAGTGCCTTCCCCAAGCTAAGCCTCGCTGCCCTTACCTCTAGGATGGGAATAGCACCTCACCTAGCCCACAGTGTTGTTGTAAGTGAGACCAGATGATTTCCATGACAACATAGGTAAATCCTAGCCACATAATTCTGAATGAAGAAACTAAGTCCAGGAATTTACAGGAAAGCATCTTAGCCTGTTGTACATTGAAGACAAGGAGAACTAAATCCCACATACTTGGGCCACAACACATGTTATAAAACTCTCTCTGTTAAAAGCAAAGGTAATGACAAGCCCAAGATTCAAGAGTGTGGTGACCATACTTGGGAGTAAGGGGTGGCGATGGGATCATAAAGCAAGAGGCAGTTGGAAGTTACTGTCAGTGTTCCAGTTCTCCCATTGGGAAGTGGGTTCATGGTGTGGATTACATTATTAATAAATCAATAGACAATCAAATATGAAATCATGCCTGGAAAGAAATGATGCAGAGCCTAGTAAATGCTTCATAGTGTCAGCTATTACATATAATGCATTAATGTTCATTATTGGTAAGTACTCTGTACCTGGCCTCCTAATCGCCCTCCCTCTTCCCCATGCAAATGTCCTCCTCCATGGAGTCCTTCCCCATGTCCTGGCACTGACATGAACCAGCATTTCCTTTCTTCTGTTGACAATGATGATGGAGGATCATGGACACCTAAAGATCCTTGGTAGAAATAGGTAGACACCTATTTGATGCCACTGCCCCCTATTCTCCCTTCTAGGGATAAGAAGGCACCCAGGAACTCAGCAGAAGGTAGCAGAAGATGTGAATTCTACACCCATGGCTCATACAAGGCACGTTCATACCTACTTGCCCAATCCAGAGAGAGTGCCCACACACTTCCCACTGAGCAAGACACCTCCGAATATCTGACCATCATCCACCATGCTTCAGCTGCATGCCTCCTACTCACCACCCTTTACACACACCCCTGCCCTGAGCCTGAAAGGATGCCTTACTCCTTCTGGTGAGCAATCCCCAAGTATGGGGACAGGGAGCCACCCTCAAACCCCATCCACTTCCATCTTACCTTCAGGAAGGATCTGAGTAGGCTTCTTCTGTCCATCTGTAGAATGTTCCCCAGGAAAGGAAGAGGATGGGGGCCTGGCGGAAGACAGCTATGTGTCTTTGTGTGGCCCCTGGCCAGGAGAATCAAGACTCCTGAGAGGAGAAGAAGGAGAAGGAGGATGCAGAGCTCCATGGTCCCAGTCTGACTGCCTTCCAGCTTACTGCAGTCTCAGCCTGGGCCTTTTATCCTGAGCCTGCCCCCCTATCCAGTTACATAACTTCATCCATTCCCCGCCTCCTCTCTATCATTGTCCAGGACCATGAACTTGAAAGAGAGGTTCTAAGGAGCCCATACTTTCTGCTCAGTACCCTGCTCCCCAACTACCTCAGCATGCTCTCTGCAGATGTTGGCAGTGTTACTGAGGTAATTACCAAGGTCAACATGAGTGCTTGTGTTTATTTTGTGATCATGGGTGAGCATACACTGTATACTTGTGGTTTTGTTTGTGTGTTTATTCTTGCATGTTTGTTCAAGCATACTTGCATCTGTGAGTATGCTTGTATGACTTTTATATGTGAATGGGTGTTTGTATTTATGTGAATATGCTGATGTGTTTCTGTGTATGAGTGTGCATGTGCTTATGTAGATTTTTGCATATGTGCAGGCTTTTATGTGTTTGTATGGACTCATATGTACTGAGTACTTGCTTTTGCACAGAGGTGGTAGTGTGTAGCCCTCTGTGTGAGTCTCTGTGTGCTTGTATATTTGTGTATCTCCCTGTCTCTATGTTTCTATGGCCTTCATGTGCTCAGTCTCTATCTCCATATCCCAGTCCTTCACCCTCCTTTCTGTGACAGCCACAGGTGGGACTGATGGAAGAAACAGAAGGAGTGGGGAGAGATTCAGAACTGGTAAGACTCAGAGGTGGAGGGGGAGGGGGAGAAGGAGAGACTGAAACCTGGAAGAGGGGGTGAGTAGGAAGATTCAGGTCTTCTGAATCTCTGACTGCTCTGACCCGTGTCAGGGGGGTCTCTTCCTGCCTCTGGCTCTGTCTTCCCTATGCAGGATGTCTCTCTGACCCTCTCTGATAACCTGTGTGTGTGTGTGCGTGTGTGTGTGTGTTTATCTCTTGTCATCTTTCTCTGTCTCAGTGTCCCTGCTTCCCCCGTTAGACTCTAACCCTCAGCAGTGCAGAGACTGGGTCTGGTTTGGCTGATGTCCACTAGGCTGGTGTCTGTCTTCGTCACTGCCCTGAGCCTCTGGCAGGCTCAGTCCCTATTGGCCAGATATGTGAATGAGTGTGTCCATAGGCCCCTGTTGTGGTCTGGGCCTGGCTTCCCACCTCTCTCTGTGTCTTTCCTTTAAAAGAAAATGGGGGGAGGTGAGGCAGCACCACTCCTGCCATATCAGGTAAACCCATTGCTGAACTCAGGACCCTGACCCTGGCAGTTGAATCACACACCTCTTACTCAGGAGGACAGGACAAACAGTCCTGACCTCTTGAATTCAGAGATGGAACCTGTACTTTATAACCTTGGAGAGGTGCCACCATAGACTTTGCTGACTCATGTCCTTGCTACTACTGTGCTGTATGGTCTGGCACCAAAATTAGGTCCTCATTCCAGCCCCAAGAATCACTGATGAAGATGTATGAAATGCTTTACTCAGGGTTACACACTGAATCCTACCCTTTGAGGTAAGTGTTGGTGTCATCTCCCCTTTATAGTTGCGGGGAGTGAAGCACAGAGTAGTTGAGAGTTTTACCCAGTAGTAGGTTAGAGCTGCATTGTCCAAGATGGTAGCCACTTTCCACTTGTGGCTATTAAGCACTTAAAATGTGGCTAGTATTGATGCTGGTCATAGTGATACTCAACTGATACTAAATTGTTACTTAGTTTAGTAATTGGAAAACTTCTAAGAACATTTGGAAAAACTTGGGTAGAGGAATCTACTTTTTCAGTTGTAAACCTCCTGAAATCTAAATACAGATCAAATATTTCTGGACAAAAAATAGGGTTCCAATTAAGACGCAATGTAAATACAAAATACACACCAGATTACAAAGGCTTATAATGAAAAAAAAAAAGATATGAGAAGCTAGGGAAGAAACAGAGAGCTAGGGCAGAGACAAAGAGAAATGAAGAAATAGACAATGGAAACAATATAAAGATGAAGGCAGAAAAAGGGAAGGAGAGACAGACAGGAGAGCAGGAGAGAGGCCCTGCTGCAAAGACTCAGGAGGGGGATGCAGGGGCACAGGCGGGGCTGCTGTCTGGGCAGGAGCTTGTTTTTATATATGCAAATGTGCTTGTATTATTTGTTAACAGCTTTACCAAAATATAATTGACATACAACAAACTGCACATATTTAAAGTGTACAATTTGATCTGTTGTGGCATATCGTACACTGGTGAAACCATCATCACCAATAAAATAATAAACATACCCAATCACCCCAAAAGTTTCTCATGCCTTTCTTAATTCCTCCCTTCCCTATTTTCAACTCCTTCCCTAGGCAACCATTGATCTGTTGTTTGTCCCTAGAGATTGCTTTGCACTTTCTAAACTTTATATTAGTGAAATCATACAGTATGTATTGTCTTGTTTGCCTTCTTCCACTCAGTATAATTATTTTGAAGTCTGTGGTAGACTGAATAATAGCCTGCCAAAATGCCCTTGTTGTAATCTCTGTAACGTCTGAATGCTACCTTATATGGTAAAATGGAGTATTTTAAATTTTTTAAATTTATTTATTTATTTTTAATTTATAAATCATGTTTATTCTATTATGGTTGTCTCAGTTTTCCCCCCTATACCCTCCTCCACCCATCCCACTCCCACCTCCCCTCCCACACTCAATTCCCACTCCATTGTCCATGTCCATGGGTCATTCTTACATGTTCTTTGTCGAGTCCCTTCCCCCTCTTTCCATCATTGTCTTCTTTCCCCATCCCCTCTGGTCACTTTCAGTCTGCTCCACATTTCTATGCCTGTGGTTTATTTTGCTCGTTAGTTTATTTTGTTGAATAGATTCCACTGATAGGTGAGATCATATGGTATTTGTCTTTCATCAACTGGCTTATTTCACTTAGCTTAATGTTCTCCAGTTCCATCCATGTTGTCACAAAAGGAAGGAGTTCCATCTTTCTCTCTTTTTCTTCATTTTCTTTCTTTCTTTCTTTCTTTCTTTCTTTCATACAGATTGATTTTATTTATTTTTTAAATGTCAAAGTTGATTATAAAATATTAAAAAATTTTAAACCATTATAAAGTCTCAGCAATTAAACCAACATGACACCAGCACAGAAATAATCAAGTAGATCGACGAAATAAATTGAGCATTCTAGGGACAAATGTATATATCTGTCTAACAATGTAATATATGATTAAGTTGATATTTCAGATCAATGGGCAAAGTAAGACTTATTCAACAAATAAGGTGCATGGACCACTATTACTTGAAATAAAACAAATATAGAGCCCTATTTCACACATTATACAACAAATATTCAGGTGAGGTAAAAATCAATATGTAAAATCTAAGGAGATTTAAGAGAAAATACAATTAATACGTTCCTTACCCTGAAGTAAAACATTCAAACCCAGAAGCTATAAAGAAAAATATTGACAATATGACTATATTAAACATTTAAGACTGTACAGTAATATACATATTAAAAAAGTTAAAGGACAAGAAATAGAATAAGAAAGTATTTGCAACACATCTAAAAAAGTGTTAATGGTTTGTTTTGTTCTTTTTAGGGAAAAAAATTCTACAAATATTTAATCAAAAAATGGATAAAGAATACGAAAAAGTCATTTAAAGCTTTTTAAAAAGAATAGAAATAGGCAAGAAATATACAAAAACAGGTTTAGTTTCAAGAAATAATTAAACAATTAAAAGAACACATCATTGTCATAATCAGATAAATATGTATTAAAAAATATTGGTAATATCAAGTATTGGCAACTGTGAAAGGAACTGGGTATTCATAGAAACTTTTTCTTCACCTTAAAGCAGTCCCTTTAGCATATCATGCAGTGCTGATTTGGGGGAGGTGTATTCTTTTAGCCTTCTTTTCTCTGGGAAACTCCTTAATTCACCTTCTATTTTCATTGAGAGCCTTGCTGCGTAGAGCAGTCTTGGTTGCAGGCCTTTGTTTTTCATTCCTTGGAATATTTGTTGCCATTCCCTTCTGGCTTGCAGTGTTTCTGTTGAGAAGTTAGCTGCTAGCCATATTGGGGCTCCCTTATATGTTATTACCTCTTTCTCCCTTGCTCGCTTTAGGATTCTCTGTTTGTCTTTGATATTTGCCATTTTAGTGATGATGTGTCTTGGAGTGGGCCTCATTGGGTTCCTCTTGAAAGGGACCCTCTGTGCTTCCTGGGCTCATGTCACTTTTTTTCTCCTTCAATTAGGGAAGTTTTCCATCATGACTTTTTCAGACAGGTTCTCTATCCCTTCCTCCTCCTCTTTTCCTTCTGGTACCCCTATTATATGGATATTTTTATGTTTCAGGTTTCCTCCATTTCCCTCAGTGCCTCTTTATTCTTTTTTAGTCTTTTTTCCATTTCTTGCTCTTGCTGGGAGCTTTTTTCTACCTTGTCCTCCAGCTCACTGATTCGATCCTTGGCTTCATCTTGCCTGCTTTTGATTCCTTCTACTGTGTTCTTCCATTCAGAAATTGTATTCTTCATTTCCTCTCGTCTCTTATTGATAGTTTATATGTCCTTTTTCATGTTGATATAGTTTGCAGTAAGTTCCTCATAGTTTTCCTGTAGTTTTTGTAATTCTCTCTGAGCTCACTGAGCTCATTGAGCTTCCTTAGAACCGTTGTTTGGAACTCAATATCTGACAGTTGACTTGCCTCTATTTCATTTAGTTCTCTTTCTGGGGATTGCTCCTTTCCCTTTGATTGAGGGGGGAGGTGTCTTTTCTTCCCATTATTTGCAAGACTCTTCTTTTTTGCTTCTGCTTCTTAAGTTGGTCTCTATAGATTTCTGACTTTGTGGTGTGAACTTCTATGGTAGGAGACTGCTGTTTTTACTTTCTGGGTCTGCCTCTGATGACATCAGATGTCATCCCTGTCTGACCTTAGGCAGTCTGTTCAAGACTTCTAGTAATCTATTATCTGTGGTTGTCTCCTTCAGCTGTTAATCTAGTCATTCTGCCTTCAGCAGGCCATCTTAGACAGCTCAGGGTGGGGCGGAATCCCTCCTGGGGGCATGGTTTT